GACAGGACAGTAACAAAACTCCTAAAACAATCTCTCTGGTAAGCCCCAGGGCGAGGGTTATTACTGCTCAGACATACCTGCCCACCTCTGGCCAGCATGCTAACCCATATAGTACTCGTTGGTCGAGAGGAATTTTCCAGACAAGATCTACACTCTCCTGTGTAGGCATACTTTGAATCTTTCTTTGCAAACACATACACTGTGTTTGTAGCCATTTTCTCTTGAGCAATCAGAACCTGTGTGAGAAAGAAAAACACTAGTAAATAACTGACAAAAGAGCATGCTCAAAGTAACAAGCACAGTGTTTCTACTATTCCTTCAGGTGCCTTAACTGTAAGAGCATTGCACAGCATGAAGTCAATCTGCCAGATTCATTTGGGTTATACTCTACATTTTATAAAATTCAGATTTAAGCAAAACATACAGCTAGTTAAGACAGAATAACCAAAACAAGAGACTCAGGGAACACTGTTCTCTGTGATGTACTTACCGTATCTGTTGGCTGTGCTGAGACATTTCTGTTAGCTTTAGGCACAACGCTGATAAAGAAAGCATTTCACTGTCTGTTTTTCCAAGGCCAAGGTACTACACAGGCATTTAAATTTAAATGCCAGCTATAACAATCAAAGACTGATTTCTTTTTCTTCCCCAAGAAGAAAAATAAAATTCTAATACTTTTGCTGTGTTTACTCAGGTATCAGGTACAAAATATGGAAAGTTTCACTGGTGAAACAGCATGAAGAGGATATGATTTGCTGAAGCTGCATCCACAGCAATGGAGGGAAGAATCTAATTTTATAATAGCTGTGAACAACCTGCAGGACACTGAGAGTGAAGAAGTGCCTCATTTTAGGTGCATGCTGCTCTGCAATGCTGGAAATGGAAAGGAAAATATCTAGAGTACATAGTGGCCTTCAATGCAAAACAGTTCATGCAGCTGAAGAAGGGAAGAACTGAAGATGTGAAATGTGCCTCAGGGAAGAAGAAAAGGTAGTTTGAGAAAGTCTTAACAGAGGATGAAAAGCCCATCTTTCTGCAAGATCAGGAACACCCACATAACTCTGATACACAGGAACAAGAGTGCTTCTGCTCCTGGCAAATCATATGGAATGAAGCAACAGAACTTCCAGTGTCTGTAAAGATATCCATGCAAGGTATAACCCCTTACCTTTTCTGATCCATTGATGATAAAGTAGCCACCAGGATCGAGCGGGCATTCATTCAGTTCACAAAGATCACGGTCAGTTAAGCCATTCAACAAACAGTATGTCGAACGTAACATAATAGGAATTTTTCCTATAAAGGTTTTCTGATGTTGTGTCTGTAATTGATCCTCCCCTTCTTTAATGACTGTTTTAGTTATATCCACATACAAGGGGGCTGAATACCTACAGAATAAAAACAACGCTGCGTTATCTGTCAGTTATTACCGTTCTGTACAATCTTGAATAGTAAATGTAGTTATTCAAGTGCTCACTGCTATATTACACATTATTACCCCATCATAATCATCATCTGGACTTAAAAACTAGGCATGGAATTTTAAATAGAGGAGTAATTATTACATTTTCAAGGCACTATTATATTGAAAAAGACTATCAATTAATAATGCAGAGGCAGTGCTCTCTTCTGTTTATCCACTCCAGAGTTGGTTCTTACGTAAGGTTTCTCAGTCTGGCTTCATTTGGCATCATTGGTGAGGGTGCTCCATCTCTTTCCCAATGTGTAGGTTTGGAGAGATAGATTTGTTCAAACTTCAGCAGATACCGGGGCTGGAAAACAAGAATACACTTACTTGTAATGGAAGAAACATCCATTTTGGTTGTTCAAGAGAGGCCCTTAGTAGCAACCTTTGAAAACCCTGACCTAACTTCAGCTGAAGAAAGCCGACAGAATATTTCAGCCATAAACTTTTCTTGCCGTGCTAAAGCTACTGAAAATCAAAATCCCACCAAAACTTGCTTTTGGCTACCTGACTTGCTCTACCACGTCTCTGTCCATGCAGTTTGGCACAGTAATTGACAATATGAGCTACAGAAGCCAATTGTTCTTGGTCACTTCTCAAGCAGCAGGACAGAGTAACTCTATACAACAGGGAAGTTCAATTCCACAGATAACAAAGCTCTTGCACATGTTTCTCAGTCAAATACCTGATTGTATGACAACTTAGCCACATATCTCAGACTCCAAAGAGTTCATCCTTCTGTCTATTGACTGCATGAGCAGCATAATTCAGATGTACTTCCATCTCTTGAGACAGGGCCTGAATAAATCCAATGTAAAATGATTTTGACTGTAAAAACACATCATCTCTGCCAGTGTTCTCCACTTACCGGCTCTTCCACTTCTCCCGAGGCATGCTGGGCTTCAGCTTGTAAATCAATTGGTGGGGCATCTTCAACAATTCTTTGCACAGACATCTGAATAAACTCATCAAAAGAATCCAACTGTTGCCTGACTAAACCCTTTTCATCAAAGTAGGAGCTAAAATCAAAAAAAGTACATTAATGAACAAGAAATCTTAATTTAATTCAAGTATTTCACACATCAACAAGCTTAAGATTTATAACAAAACCTACAAAAGCCATAAAATGCAGCAGAGAATCAAACACATTCACTTATCCCAAGGCATGAGTTTCAAACATAGATGTTCAAAAACGTTTAACAATTCTCTCACTGCTTGAAGACACAGACACTACAAAGTGACAGATGTGCTGCCACCTCCTGGCTAGGCCATGACTGCACGCACAGTATACCTTAAATTATGATGACAAACCTCAGTGAAAGCGGCTTCAGATAAAGTTTTACCAACCACGTCTGTAAATTATTTTGCTTTAACTAGTTTTCCAAGCTGCAGTAAACTGAGAGCATGCCCCTAAGTCCAAGTAATAGTTCTCAGAACTCCTCTTGGCTTGGATCTCCCCTGTGCCAGCTTCACTCCTTCTCCAGATTTCCCTTAGCCTTTGGGTCACCTAACTCCAACCCAGCACAACCTAACTGTAAAAATCAAAGCCTAAATTTGAAGCCCCGCATCCTAACTTTTGATGGGATTAACTAAACATGTCTGCTGCATCAGCTCCTGCCAGTAAGCTCCTCTACTTCAGTGAGGTATTACTGAAGCGAGCCAGGGAACCTACATTACCTCAGCTTCTGTCCCATCACAATTGTGTGTCCATTAGTGGACAAAATCATGTGCTTGATATGGAACCAAAACCACCTCTTACTTAATTGAAAACAGTGTCCCCCCCGCTGAGGGATCAACGGGGGTTCTTCATCCCTCATGACAACCTTTCTGTTTTTGCTTAAAGCCCTTCTGCTCTGAACGTGCTACAACACACAATTCAGCATAATCAAGCCTGCAGGTCTCAGGATGTGTTCCCAGCAAAGCAGATGCCACCTGTGAGGCCGAGAGCACACGCATCAAAGGGTTAAAGAACAGTGAGTTTTAGTCAGTCACCTAATGACAATCCAGCAGGCTTCTTGCCACAGGTCAGGCGTGATTTCATCATCGTCCTCATCATACTGCATATCTGTGGGGAAAGAAGCACAGCATGTGAGCCAGGCTCCCATCACCGCCTCAGTGTCCCTCCTGAGCTGAGGGACCCTCTGGCACCCCAGCAGCACCCACAGCTCATTTTCTGATTAACAGGAAGCTGAACATGAGCCAGCAGTGTGCCCACGTGGCCAAGAAGGCCAATGGCACCCTGGCCTGTATCAAGAATACTGAAGCCAGTAGGACCAGCGAAGTGATTCTTTCCCTCTACTTGGCACTGCTGAGGCCGTATCTGGAGTACGGTGTCCAGTTCTGGGCCCCTCAGTTTAGGAAGGACATCGAGGTGCTGGAGCAGGTCCAGAGAAGGGCATCGAGGCTGGTGAAGGGACTGGAGCACAGGCCCTATGAGGAGCAGCTGAAGGAGCTGGGGCTGTTCAGCCTGGAGAAGAGGGGACTCAGGGGAGATCTCATCACTCTTTACAACTATCTGAAAGGAGGTTGTAGCCGGGTGGGGGTCGGTCTCTTCTCCCAGGCAAGAGGGCACGGTCTTAAGCTGCGCCAGGGGAGGTTTAGGTTGGACATGAAGAAGTTCTTTACAGAGAGAGTGATCGGGCACTGGAATGGGCTCCCCAGGGAGGTGGTGGAGTCACCGTCCCTGGAGGTTTTTAAGATGAGACTGGATGTGGCACTTAGTGCTATGATCTAGTAGGCAAGGTGCTGTTAGGTCAAAGGTTGGACTCGATGATCTCAGAGATCTTTTCCGACCTAACTGATTCTGTGATTCTGTGGCCGTCCGGCTCCCGCCGAAGAGCCCACCGCGACCGGCCCATCCTCCTACTCCCAGCTCCTACGGAAGATCCCAGCGCGCCCGTAGCATCCCTCCGGCTCCTGCGGGCCCCGCGCGCCGCCCCTGCCCGCCTTGCACGGACGGACGGGAGAAAAAGGAGGGGGGGGCAAAAAAAAAAAAAAAAAGGGGGGGGGGGAAGGCCTCACCTTCGTCCGCGTCGTACATGGTGGCGGCGGGCGGAGGCGCGAGCGGCGGCCGGGCGGGGGGCGAGAGGAGCGGCGAGAACGGAGCGCGATGGCGGCGGCGAGCGGCGGGAAGGCGGCTGCGCGCCCTCTGACGTCTCCCGCGAGGCGCCCGCGCGCGCCGTGACGTCAGGCACGCGTGTCCCGCCCCGCCGTCGCCGGTGTCCCGGCCATGCTCCGGCTGCTCCCGCCGCTCCTGTCCCGCCTGGCCCGCGCACAGCCCCGCGCTCCCGTGCGGCGGCTGCGGCGGGGCGGGGGGCCGGCGGTGGCAGGCGGCGGGGAGGAGGAGGAGCGCTTCGTGTTCCTCGAGTACGAGCTGGACCCGGCTGAGGCGGCGGCGGCGCCGCGGCGGGAGCGGGAGCAGGAGCAGGAGCCGCGGCGGGAGCGGGAGCGGGAGCCGCAGCCGCGGCGGGAGCGGGAGCCGCGGCGGGAACGGGAGCCGGCCAGGGAGCGGCGGCTTCGGGGCGCAGCGGCGGGGATGCCGGGCGTGCCCGACCTGTCGGTGCCGCCGAGCGGCGTGAGCTGCTCGGGCTGCGGGGCCGAGCTGCAGTGCGCGGACGGCGGCGCGCCGGGGTTCATGCCGGCCGAGAAGTACCGCAGCCTGCTGTCGGAGGGCGCGGCGGGGCTGCGCGGCGCCGTGTGCCAGCGGTGCTGGGCGCTGGCGCACTACGGACGCGCCCTGCGGCTGCAGCTGCCGCCCGACGAGCACCGGCGGGTGGTGAGCGAGGCGCTGCGCCGGCCGCCCCGCCACGGCCGCGGGCCGCTGCTGCTCTACGTGCTTGACGTGCTGGAGCTGCCCGACCCGGTGCTGCCGCAGGTGCCGGCGCTGCTGGGCCCCGGCGTGCCCGCCTCGGGCGTGCTGGTGGTGGGCAACAAAGTGGACCTGCTGCCCGCGGACGCCCCCGGGCACCTGGGGAGGCTTCGGAAGAGGGTGGCGGAGGCCTGCGCCCGGGCTGGGCTGGCGGGCGCCGCGCTGGTGGATATCCGGCTGGTGAGCGCCAAGACGGGCTTCGGCATGGAGGGGCTGGTCAGCCGGCTGCACCGCTCCTGGAAGTGCGCCGGGGACGTGTACCTGCTGGGCGCCACCAACTCCGGCAAGTCCACGCTCTTCAACACCCTGCTGCGCTCCGACTACTGCAAGTCCCGTGCCCCGGACATCGTCGACAGGGCCACCGTGTCCCCCTGGCCAGGTGAGGGAACGCCGCTCTTCCTTCCCCGGGGCCAGCCAGCCCCTGGGTCTCTGGGCTGCCTTCGGCCATCCCTGTGTAAGAACCTGTCGCCAGACGGGAACCCGCCACCCCGAGCACCCCTGTGGTGGATAGCGAGCTCCTGAGCTGCACTGTGCTTTAGATTGTCACCTCTGGGAAGTGGCTGAGGGACCTCTGGGAAGTGGCTGAGGGAGCTGGGGCTGCTTAACTTGGAGAAGAGGAGGCTTGGAGGAGACCTTCTCACTCTCTACAACTACCTGAACAGAGGTTGTAGGCAGGTGGGGCTTGGTCTCTTCTCCCAGGCAACCAGCGATGGGACAAGAGGACATAGTATTAAGCTGTGCCAGGGGAGGTTTAGGTTGGACATCAGGACGAATTTCTTCACAGAAGGGGTGATTAGACATTGGAATGGGCTGCGCAGGCACCGTTCCTGGAGGTGTTCAAGGAAAGACTGGACGTGGCACTCAGTGCCACGGACTAGTTACTTGTTGGTTTCCAGTCATAGATTGGACTTGATAATCTCAGAGGTTTTGTCCAACCTCGTTGATTCTGTCATTCCTTGGGGCAGCAGGTGTGGGAAGCATGTGCTGAGAGTGCTGCACATCCTGGAGCACTAAGGGGCCCAGTAAACCAGAGCTGGCCTGCATGCTCCCTTGCCAGTGGGGATGGTGCCTGATCCACACGCCTTGTCCTGTTCCTATCAGTTAGGGGTGTCCTCCAGTTCAGAGAATCCAGGAGGTGGACTGGTGAGCATCTGTAGGCCAAACCAAGCTACCTGGAGGTGAGACTTGCCTGAGATGTATTGTCAGTCTTAGCACCACTTGGCTTTGAGATCCTTCACCAAACTAAAGGTGAGAGCAGGTCTCAAGCCGGTGGATGGCTCCTTTTTGCTGCCCTGACTTTAGAAGCTGGTAGTTTATGGGAGCAGCTGTAGTTCAATCTCTGACTTTGTGTTCCTGTGTTTCACCAAAAAGTTGGAGAAGCAATTTTTTTTTCTTGTTCGTCAGAGCTTAAATGTACCAGTTAGTCAAGAGACCCAAAGGTACCTTCTGGGTTTTTTTTCCAGGAACAACACTGAACCTGTTGAAATTTCCTGTTATTAATCCTACGTGTGACAGAATATTCCGAAGGCAGGAGAGGCTGAAAGAGGAGGCAACAAAAACAGAAGATGAGTTAAGCAGTGAAGAAAAAAAGTACCTTAATCACCTTAAAAAGCAAGGCTACCTAGTGGGTGAGTATTGCCTGAGTAACAGTATTGCCACTCAATATTACACTCTTTGTGTAATATTGCATTACACAAAGGATTGTTAACTCCTTAGTTTGCTGTAGAATCCAGCTGTTTGCAAGTAATTCCTTCCCACACTGATAAGAACTCATTTCCGTTTAATTACTGGAAGAACATGTTATCTTGTAGAAGTAGTAAAAAATTTCCAAGCTTGCTTTTAATTTATTTTGACCGCTGTTTGCTCCCAGAGTAATGGGAGCAAGACCTGTATCTCCTCCATAAAGCAGCATCATTAGCACTTCTTTTGGGTACTTACTTGTTAGCTGCTGTAGTAGCCTCGCAGAAGTTTCCTCTGTGCAATGCACCTCCTGTCTGAACTAGGCTGGCAAATTCCGACAACTTAGTAGTTTACAAGGACATTGCACTGTGGGCCATCTCTCATTCCTAAAGGAAGAAAACAAGTTTAATTTTTAAAACAAGTTTAATTTTTAAATATTTAAAAAATGGGGTGCAGGACATGGTCGTTCTACATCACTTCAGTATGTGCCCAAAAGAAGGAGTTTACAGAAGATAGCTCTGTTTTTGCAATAATTTTGTGTTTGGAAGTCTGAGGCACTGAAAAAAGAAGGCAGCTTACTTTACCATTAATCGGAAATAATGGAGTGTCTGTGATTTGGTCCCTGCTGAGATTTTGGGGCTTGAGGAATCCTAAACAAGAATTATAGAAAGGATTTCTTATCATTTTGGCTTTTGAATGCACAAATTTCTAGTCACATAGTGTCTTTATCACCTTTATGTTACTGATATGCATCTTTTAAGCCAGGAAAGGGGCAGATGTTCAATTGAGGGAAAGGCAAGTTAATAAATATGATTACCAGGAAACCTTTCATTTTAATCCAGGAAGAGTTGGAAGAACATTTCAACGGCAGAAGGCTAGCCCTGTGGTTGAATTTGATCCTGACATGCTCTCCTACAGCATGGATGAAGATCCCAAACATTCCCCTAAGAAGCGTGAGCAAAGGGAGGAGTTCACACACAATGAAGTGAAGGATGCTCGCTGGTGTTTTGACACTCCAGGAATTGTAAAGGAAGACTGTGTAGGTACTCTGTGGTGCTGTGTTTCGGGATGACAGGGTTTGGTAGGACTGTTCTTCTTTAGCTGTGCCTGTGGAAGAGTATTTATGCTGCAGTCCTAGGATTAGGATTCTTTTGGTTTGGGAATTGTGTTAAGATATGGTTTGCATTTACTTGGGAAGGTTTCATGTGGTAACGTTGCATTTCTGAATTGTGCATACTGCCAGCTTTGCAAAGAGCTGTAGGACTTGTGTCATCAATCTTCTGTAATCTCTGAATGAGGGGAAGTGAGCAAGAGCACTCTAAACAAGTTTATACCAGCATCATCCAGTGAAGCTGGCATTTTTTGAACTCTTCCAGTCTACTGAAAAGATGGAGCTTGGGATGATAACCAGAGTTGTATGACTGAACCAAATCTTAGAGAAAGCATTCTCCTGAAGCTAGCAGAATCTATGTTGTTCCTGTTAATGGCTCCAGTAGGTCTGGCTTACATCAGTGTTTCAGTAGAGCAATGGTTCTGCTGAAGTCAGTGCTGATAGAGTGCACATGTCCAAAACAGTTTTGGATTTTCGATCGCTTTGGTGCCCATGCAGGGCTGCAGGTCATCTTTTGGGGAAGATTAAAAAGTACAGGGAGATGGGAAAGTTCTGAAGAGAACAAAGTGCTAGAACTCTACTGCTTTCATGAAGACTAGAAAATTACTGGTGTTCGACTACTGTGTGCCAGACCATAATTTACTCTACAGTGGCACTTAGCTCTCTGATAGTCAGCATAAAGACATTAATTTGATTATCCTTGCTGTGCCTTTGGAAAACTACATGCCAAGTGTCAGATCAAATTTTGTTCCTTCAGTCAGTGTTCAGTCTGAGTGGAGGACAAGCAGATTGTTTACGTGGCAGATTTTGGAAGTTATAAGCAGGTTTATTTTATTTTATTTATTTTATTTTGGAAGAAGAGGGAAGGAAAGTGGCTGTTGGCATTTGACGGGATTAAATTTTTTGCCTTTTCTCTTGGAGGTTTGTTTTTAGCTGCTTCCTCATGACTCCTTACAAAGCCAAATTTCTGGAAAGCCTAGAAAACTATTACTGATAGCTGAACTTTTGGTTTTTTAAACATTATCAAACAAATCAGAAAACCTGCAGCTAGGAGGACAAAACCTTCTCTTCTTTTAGAACTGATGTTGAAGTCTGTCCTGACTTTGAAGCTAAAGAATGTCTACTTGTGAACATAGGAAGAGTTTTAAGGGTTCGGGCTGTTCCCACAGCTCTTGTTATTTTGTTCTTTTAAAGCTTGAGGTTAATCCTCATGTCCAGACTGGTCCAGACTTGCATCTGCATGACTGGCATGTGTTGGGGGCACAGCTGGAACCATTTCTGCTGTCTCCCTAGGAAGGAGACACTATCAACCTGGAGACAAGTTGTTTCCTTCAAGGCACTGCTTTTTGTGCTGACACATTGTTGCATGACTGGATTTGAACTGTACTTCCATAGGAAGTGATCAGACTGCTGTGGCTGCAGCACTGCTGGTTAAGTCACTGGCTTTTAAGTAGACTTTTGGGGTACATCATTTCAGTGAAACAAATTAACATCTAAACAGATGAACTAGGTGAGCCAGGAGATGGAAAGAAAGGAGGAGGAGAGGAAGACAGGGCAGCAGGAGCATTTGGGAGCCCTCACAGAGGGGAAAGCTTGTTTCACTGTGCTCAGGGTACAGATCCATGCTGTGAGTCAGGCTGGTCATCCTGCAGTTTGAGTCATTCCACACTGTGATCTAGGACTTTTCTCTAGTAAGATACTTTGAGATTAGCTTTGCTGGTAGTATTGATTTGGCACTTTGTGTCACTATCTAAGTGGGGTGACTCAAATGTCATAGCTGAAGGTGGTCTCCAGTTCTGCACATGGCTGCAGTTGCGCTAAAACACAGTAAATCTTGGGTGACCTTGTTCCAGCCAAACCCTGGATTCTCACATTCATGCCCAGCAGGCTGCTTACAGCTGTTACATTTCGACATGGACCCTGCATTGCCATGGAGAATGGTGATATCCTTACCTCTTCTGTTTCTCACTTACTATGTGGAAGAATTGAACTGTTCTGTCAGATGTTCTTTACACTGCTTTACTTGGTCTTTTTCCTCTATCAGTATAATGCCAATACTAATTTCTTTGTCCCCATTGAAACATCTGGAATGAATTGTGGCAGTACAATTTATTTTGCAGGTTTTGAATCTCCTAACAGAGAAAGAAGTAAAGCTGGTTTTGCCAACAGTTGCCATTGTTCCACGGACCTTCATTCTCAAGCCAGGAACGACCTTGTTTTTAGCAGCCTTGGGACGTATAGACTACTTACAGGTAAGGGAAGAAAGGATTTTGGGAGCAGCTGCTTCATTTCTTACTATAGTACCAGACATGAAAGGCTTTTTGGGTAACTTTCCCTTTTTTGCTGCTTTGAGATGATGAATCTGTTAATAAATCACTGCATAAGATCAGAATGCCTTGGGAATGCCAGAATTAACTGGGAAAATAAGTGGGTTTCCTCATTTCTGTGTTTTGTGAAAGCTGGCTACCAGGAGAGAAAAGCATGGACATTTTTCTTTCCTGACACAGACTTCTGAAGAATTTGCCAGAGGAAGTAATTATTTGCATATGTATTTTAGTTTCTATGAAGATATTTTTAAAAGGTACTGTGTATCCCCACTGCCAATAATTTCTTCCATTTATTATAAATCCCCTACCATACACCTTTACTGAACTGTGTGGAGCTGACCTCCAATGATATTTCTTCCACATAGGCGTTATCATAAGTGCTAGAACCTTTTCTCAGTAGTTTGCCCTGTTTTGGGGGTGTGTATGGCTATTCCTTTGTTTCAGTCAGCTTTCCAAGATCACCATAGAAATGTTGAATTGGTACTTTGCTAAGGACATTCTTGACCTGCTGAAAGAAAACCAGAAAGGTGGAGGGAGCAGGATTCTGTAAGTAATAATGTACTGGTATGGCAGGAGAGCTCCATCATAGCTAAGGTGAAAATCCAGAGCCCTGTTCCAAAAAAACAGCTTGGCAGGACAGAGTAGTAATGCCCTACTCAGAGGCAAAGATCTCTCTGGGATGATTTGCCTGAGCTGAGCAGCTGTGATGGTGGGAGATGGGGCATTGGGGGTGCTTTGAGGCAGGATGGTGAAGCTGTGGGTGCTTCTGTCCTGAAAGCTCAACTCCCCAGTTGATATAAACCCTGGCTGCTCCACAGTGGCAGAGGCAAGGACCCCTTGGACAGGGAGGGGACATCAGGCAAACAGGTTTTTAACATGCAGGAAAGAAACAGGGCAGGAGAGAGAAATTCAGGACTGCTTTTCTGTTACCATAATTAACATCCTCTTGTTATTTATTTCTACCACCTAAGGAGTCTTTCTGCTGTGCCTTTTGTAACCGGTCTTGTCTATCTCGTATTGTCCTCTTTAGCCACCAGCGCACTTGTAGCAAATGTGGGTAGAGCCCTCCCCAAATCTTCGTTCGCAAAGCCCAGCCATGATGGTTATTTATTTCAGGGAGAAAAGTCTGCCTGGTTTTCTGTCGTGGCTTCTAACCTGTTGCCAGTCCACGTCACTACCCTGAGTAACGCAGATGCCATCTATGAGAAGCACGCTGGCCGAGAATTACTAAAGGTGAGAGGAGGTGCTGTTGGGGGCTCTTGGCTGCAGGCAAGCAGCTGTCCTGCCTGGTGAAGGACCCTGTCTGGGGCACAACTGACAGGGAAAATCCACATGTATCAGGAGTTTGGGACTTCTGCAATGGAAACGTGCAGTGTGGAGCACTGCACTTGCAAAGACTGCATGGCTGCAGGTGTGATAGGAGAGAGCACTTGAGATAGTGTGTTTTCAGGAGAGCTTCTGTTTCTGGCATTCAGGCTGATAAGATGTGCAGTGGTCTGCTCTCCGATACTTGGCTCTTGAACTGGCTTTAAGTGCAGGCAGCAATAGGGATATTTTCCATGGCAAACCTTCAGACTGGGGTTTCAGCACTGATTGGAGTTGAAAAATGTACCTTTCTTATTCTTTCCCTGCTGGATCCTCTGCACACCTCTTCATCTTTCGGTGGTCTGACTTCTTCCTTGGTATGACAACGTACTGTGTAGCACTTGCAGATTGTTGGGAGATGGGGTGAGCTGTCCCTGTCCTGGCATTCCCATTCCTGTGCACATGGAGAACAAGCGCTGTCACTCACATCAAGGCGGCTGGCCTGAGCCCCCAGCTGTGTCCTGCAGCGGGCGCTCCATCTTTGCTCGCCTCCCACGGGGTTCCTCTGAATGTGATCCTGATTCTGTTCTGGCAAACCTGAAATAGCTCCTGTAGATTATTCAAGCCAGCTCTTAATTGGCTAACAAATGTCTCTCATGTTTTTTCCCTCTTGTGCCTTGCTTGCCAGTTTAAGGTAGGAGTGCTGAAGGATTTCCTGAGTATGAAATCTTTTCTCTGTATTTTGATCTTAGGTTCCCATGGGTGGGGAAGAGCGAATGAAAGAGTTCCCCCCACTTGTCCCTCAGGACATTACACTGAAAGGAATTGGTACCACTGAGGCAGTTGCAGATATCAAGCTTTCCTCTGCAGGTAATTTAATATTTCTTCATTAGTTTGCTTTGCAGAGTCTGCATCTTAGAAACATTGATGGGAAGAGACTTCTGAAGGGGTGAAGCCATATTTCCTGCTCAGAGCAGGACTGTCAACAACAAAAAATCACAGCAGCCATGGCTTTGTCCAGCTGAGGCTTGGCAACCTCCAGGAATGGAAATTGACAGCCATGTTTGTACAGGACAGCTACAATGGAGTGCTTTATGTTCTGGCTGCCATACAGGTTCCACAGCATCAGGAATGGCTGTGACACTGTTGGCTGTCCAGGTGAGAGGGAAAGGGCCATTGATAGGAAAGCTTTATTGCGTTTTTGGTAGTTCCAACCATCCTTCTTCAGTTTACCAGGAAAGAGCTATGTCTAGGGCGAGTAAGATGTGGCTTTAGGTGCTACCTTCTATTCGGAAAGAGCTGGAATATGACCTTTGAGCTTGGTTTCTCAAAGAAATCACACGTAAGTAAGCTCAGGTTCTCAGCCACTATAGGCAGTAGTTTGTGTCAGAACCCTCATTCTGATCCTGGGGACTTGTCTCACTGTCTGTATTCCTTTTGGCTGTGCAGGATGGGTGGCAGTGACAGCTCATGCAGAAGAGGAATTGCTACTCCGAGCTTATACTCCCAAGGGCACCGCGTTGGTGGTGCGGGAGCCTCCCCTTTTGCCTTACATCAGTTCCATCCGAGGGTCCCGGATCGCAGGCACCGCTGCCTACAGGACCAAAAAGCCTCCCTCCCTTGTGGAAAACCTGAAAACCACAGGGAGCAGATAGCACTTCTTATCATCTGAACAAGGCAGAAGACAGAAGAGCCTCTGGAGAACCTTGTTGCTTATTGATATTCAGAAGACCTTGGACTCCTTTTAAAAGGCAGACAGGCATGTTTTGGAAAGCAGGTGTAGGGGGAGTTCCATAAGTTCATACCTGATGCAGTTGCTGAACTGCAGCCATTTTGAATGAGCTGAGTGGCTGGTACCTTGCTGTGAGAGGCGAAACAGCTTCTCCCTGGGATCTACCAGTATCTATGAGCAAATCCCTTTACCTGTCCCCTCTTGAAATACGGGATGGAAACTCACCTGCCTGACCTGGGCTGGCTCCACTGCTCGTAGAGTAGACAGCTTGTTGCAGACACGCTCCTTCAGGTCAGAAATTGTCACCTTGTTCTTGGAGGCTTTACAGTGTTTCCACAGTTACCGAGGTGGAGGGAATTGGAAAGAACGGGGAATGCCCTGTCATGGTTGTGACTCTCCTCATTGTAGTGGCTGATACTCATTCAACATCGACCTTTCACTCCTTCAGAATCTGAGGCAGATGAGGATGTGCAGTGCCCTGCTTTTGGACGCAGGAGAGGTGAATCAATGAAAAACAGGTCTGCAGATGTGCGTGAAGAGGAAACTTACAACTCACTGCTTTGATTTGGTTTCTGCAGATTGTGTAAAGGTTTTTGAAACTGAGGGTGTAAAATAAAGCTTTTCAAATACATTCTTTTGTATCCTTTTCAAATAGTTGACAAAGCACTCTTGTGTGGGCATGAGCATCTTGACAAATACATGAAAACTCCAACGCGGTAATACCTGTGCTAAATCTGCAGAGTGAGAGAGAGACATAACCAGCCAGTTTGCTGAAGAAGATGCAAAAAAGAGTATTTTCTAATCTCTCCTTACCGGTACTCTCACTTTTCCCTGTTCTGTTTTACCCACCCAAACTACTGATGTCATAACCCATCAATCAGGGACATAATACATGTTGTAAATTCTCATCAGGCTGAACAAAGACACCAGGCCTGTGCCAGGGAGCTCCTGTGCTTTATGGTACAGTCACCATAACTCTGGCAACCAGCCCAGGAGTTAGACTCAAAAGGTCTTGGCCAAGAAACCCTTAAATTTTTTACAGTACACTTCTCAGAATGGTGGCTAACAAGCCCTTAATTTCTTACAGTACACGTCAGTAAGTTCTAAACTCCCACAAGAGTATGGTGCCCAACCTGCCTAGCACAGCTGATGAGGAGCTGCTCCTGCAGGAGATGACAGCAAAGGTCCGCTGTCTCGGCGTGCTGGCTGCAGCCTTCCTGTCCCACCCAAGTGTGGCTGCTCAGCGGTCTCTGGATGGCTCATGCCTTGAGTAAATGCTGGTGGGGTGGCTGCCTGGAAGAGCAGGCTTAGGCCTGATGGGAAAGGCTGCTGAGTGTGTTTTCAGAAGGCAGCTGGTCTGGGCTTCACCTGCATGTGTGCAGGTGAAGGTGCTGGTGGGTTTTCTGCAGACTCCTCTGCAGAACTGCAACTTCTCTGTTGTTCCAGATGCTGCTTCATGTTTGCTGCTGGAAGTGCTGTGGCTCCTGTGCCTTCCCAGCTGATGTCCAGAATAAAACGATCTTTTCTCTCCTCTGACTCTGTCTGCCATTGGATATTTTAGAGAACTGTGGGTGGTGGCGGTGCAGGTGCTTCAGGGGTGTCAGGGGCTGGGCCCCACCATTTGAGAAGGATGAGAAGGTCCTCAAATGCCTCCAGTGGAAAAGTCTTCTCTTTTGTACTTGCCATGGGTGTGTGGTTCAACTTGGTTATGGCTGCATGCTTTAAAAAGGAAATAAGGTGTATTTTCAGCACCCTAGTAATAAAAGTCAGTGAAAAATAAAATGGTATTCAACTGAAATTTAGAGGAGTGATGTGCCAAAGGCAGTTTCTTTGCGCAGAAAAGTACTGAGTGGCGGGATCACCACACTGTGCACTTGGAAGGCTTAAAAATTTGGGTGGTATGGCATAAGGAGAGATAGGAGAAAGACTGAAAGCAGGAACAAAGGTCACTTGTTACTGACAGGAAGCACCAACAGAAAATGTGCTTCCTTAAGGTCTTGATATGCTAATGGTGTCCCCCTTGATGAGTTTAGGGAGAGATTGGAGGAGATGGGATATGAAATAGGCTGCAATACTAAAGAGAGAATGAATTAAACTGTAGGCAAATGAGGTTAGTTGAGAAGACAAATGAGACAGCAATGTGGTCTGCTAAAAATGAGTAAAATCCTGATTGGTTGTGTCCTGACACAAGAAGTTAGGGAACTGACTAAATAGCAGATGATATGCTACCTCCAAGGTTGAAAGAACATTTGCTAATGTTGCTGTTGAAGTTACTGTTGTACTAGGGAGAAAAATGGGAAAAGAAAAAGCATCAAAGAAGGTAGTAGGAGAAGATAGGATACTCCTTCTTTTCTCTCCCGTCTTATATTTGTAAAATGAAATTATGGCTGCATGGAGGAACTCTTGTTTCTTCTTCATTTCCATAGCTTAAATCACTAGTAATAATGCATTTATATTGCACAAAAAAAGAGGAATTAATGTTTTGGAAGAAAAATAGTAATAACACTACTTTCAGTAAAGTTCTCTTTAAAAAAACCTCTAGTATTTTAATCTGTGGAGCAATCCTGGCTCTTTCTGTGTGATCAAACACCTTAATTGTATTTGGTAGTGATCCTAAAGCTTGGCATATAAATTTTTGATGCAACAGATCTGAGTGGGTTTCGTTTCTGTAGCTGCATAGGTAACAGATGTTATTATTTATTGTAATTCCTGAGATGGAAAGTGTCTATCTTGGCTGCGAGCCTAGTCTAACTTTGCAGTTCTTCCAGTTAGGAAAGCTTTTTGTCTGCCACCTGTGAATCTTCTTTTGGAACTGAATCACACTTGAAGGTCATTTCTTTCCAGGAAGTGTGTCTTTTAGAGGATTGCAAGATAAATTCACGTTTTCATATAATAGTTATCGTCCTGATTGACATCATCTTCAGTTAGAAAAGCCAATACTGAGTTTAGAAATTAGTCCTGGAATAAAGCTACTGTTGCTTTTGACATTGCGTAAATTGTTTCAGTGGGCACAATGATGTAATTTCTGTAGTTTCAGTTCGTGTGTGTATCTCACTGATGTTCATGAATAGAAAGAAAACCAGAAAAAATCCAAGTGATCACTTGGTAATTGATGAATCAACCCCTACTTGGAAGGTGGCACTGATGAAAAGGTAATGAAATGCATCATTGAGACACAGTCCCAATCTGCAAACAACAGCTGTAGGAACTCAGCTTCAAAATAAGATCTAAACTCATGCACAGAAAGTGTAAGACCCTGTTTAGTGTCAGAAGTGGGCATGAGGGTTTTGGCTGGGTTTTTTTGTTTGGTTGTTTGGTTGTTTTTTTCAGTCAAGTAGCACTTATTCACTTGTCTACAGCCTCTGGAGCATCAAAAAAGGGTGTGGTTTTCTTTGTGGAGTGAGTCCAGCTTTAGGACTACACTGGGAAAAAACAATACTGTTGCTAGGACATGGGATGGAAAATCCAAAAGTAGAATATTGTATCACTAGGTGTGGTGGTTTGGGCTAGGCCTTCCTTGGTGACCAGTTTGTAACCAAGGAAGGGTCCAGATTTACCCAGTATTCCCTACGATTTTTACGTAAGTCAGATTATAAGAAGAGAGGAGGAGAGGCCTTCGCTCCTTTTCCTTCCGGCGGCTTGGAGGTGCAGGTCCCCTGCTGTTGAGTCTGCCGTGTTGGGGAGCGAGGCCTGGTTGGGCCTTGTCGACCTTGGGAGACGGAGGTTGCCGGCGATCGTTCCGGAGTGACTCTCAGTTGTCCCAGGGGAGTAGTGAGCTATTTTTCTTTGCTAACTTTTTAGTTGTTAGATATTGGGTCTTGGGATATCTATATATTTTATTTTAGTTTTGTTCCCTTTCCCTTCCCCCTTCCCTTTCCCTTGTGAAATTGTATATAAATGTAAATATATTTTTATATCTCACTTTGCTTGTCTCTCTCTCGTTTCGGGTTTTTCTTAGTTTTTTCTCCCTCTTCTCCCTGAGGTTGGGGGGGACGGGGACTTCTGGTGGTAAGGTTTGGAGACTTGGCAGGGAGCCAGCTTCAAACCATATCACTAGGTACCTGTATAATATTGTATTACTAGGTACTCCATGACAGGCTTGGTGAAAGTGCCTATCAGCTCTAATTTGCAAAAGAAATGGTTGATGAAAGTCAAGAAAGACTTACAAAAATTTACATAGTAAAAAATTATTACTCAGTCTTTTTTCGTACTAAGGCTTGGAAAAAATATTCCACTGACCACGCAGCAGTCAGTACTACTCAATGTGGAGGTAAGTATATAGATTAAATAATAAAGCATGGATGGAATGCCAATATTTATTCTAACCTCTTTCATGTTTTCAGCTGGAGGCCACAGTGAAATTAAGAAGGACCAAGTTTAAAAATAGTAAGTGGACTTCTCAGTGCAGTGTGTGCATAACCTTGGAAACACAAGCCTTTGAGAGACCAGGGTCAAGAACGTAGGGAAAGAAAACAAGTTTTGTGGGTGGAAAACATCTACATTTTCATTCAGAAAAACTAAAAAAATATTCTAACCCCTTAGAATTTATGGCATAAATTGGCTTTGATTGCCTAGACAATGAAGATGCTTCCATTATCTGCACATATTTCATGTGTGTTTCAGGACTTCTGGACCTTATTCTGAACTCTCTGCTATGTCTAACATGTCTAACATGTCTAACTGAAAGAAAGGATACTGAATTACATGAATCACGGGTGTGTTGATGGTGATTTTTATGATACCAAGATTGTAAATCTCATTTGAAGAAAAGGTGACA